TTGACACTTGTTTTTACATGAAGAATTTATTGATTTTATTCTTTACCTGAATTAAATTTAGATTTATCTTGGACTCTTGAATATCAAATTATCAACTAATTCAGATTTTATTTGGCTTTGTACAGGAGCAAAACCGAAACCGACCCAAACCGACCCAACCCGACTCAAACCGACCAGGTCGGTTTGGCCTGTCAGTAGGTCGGTTTTGGTTCCCACCTTAACTAACCCGACCAGGTCGGGTCGGTTGGGAAAATCCCAAGAAACCGACCCAACCCGACCCGTGAACGCCCTTACTTCCAGTCAGACGACAAGCTAGGTGAATTTGCAAGACGAAGATCAAAGAACTCGAGGTGGCTAACCCAGCGAGGTCGCTCCGATGCTTAAATTAGTAATCTGATGCGAACTGAATAGCTTTGAGAACTTAGAGAGCTAGAGAGCTAGAGAGCAGAAAAATCACGCGTACCTTGTGTCATTGCGGTTGGTGCCTTTATATAGGCATTGTTTGGTGTAGGCTTCGCGCACCGCATCCGAGATTTCCGGGAGGTCATGCCTTACCGATCTGAAATCCTCAGAGGTAACCGCTATGCACGTTGACCATCCTCTAGAACATTCGATACGCGGGCCAACTTCAGAGAAACCTGGGAGTGTCGGGGTATGCATGCTGAATTTGTCGGCGAGCACATCTCGTAGGTCACCGCCTGGTCCTCAGTTAGGTCGGAAAACCCTCGAGAGAGGCCATGCCTCGCATCGAGGTCACTTTGGCCGGTGACAAGGTGTTGCAGGTCGGCCCTGGACGAGGTGCTACAAGCCGACCTAAGTTGTGGTCGAGGTCGCCAAGTCAGCGATAAAGGCAGGTCGCCAGGTCGGGGCGAAGACGAACTACGATCTGGGATTCCAAATCATCGCTTAGGTGGCATCTAGGTGTCGTCCCGCTGTTTTGGGATGCCATGTGTCATGAGGTTATTGGAGGGCCAAATCCGCCCTCATCAGTAGGGTTGTAAACGGATTGGATCCAACTGCATCTGCATCTGATTATGAAATCTCTAGATCCGCAACCACATCTAATTATTATGTTGGATTTTGGATTTAATTTGCAACCATATTATTGTGTTTAAAATGACCAAAAATTTTAAAAGTTTTAAAAAACTAATTATTTTTAAAGTATATATGTATAATTAATGTATATAAATATAAAATATTAAATGTATCAATTAAAAACTTTATATAATTATACATAATATCTATGTGTATACATAATTATACTACATATATACATAAAATAATAATTTTTATTAGACTTGGATTTTAGTCGGATCAGATGGGGTTAAATCCGCATCAGATCCAATTATTAATCGGATGCAAATTCTAACATCCAAATTTGAGTTATGAGATAATCGAATTCAAAGTCGAATCGGGTATCATACTTTCAAAGTCCATTGACAACCCTAGCAAACAGGGCCCAAGCTAAGCAACCCCTAAGCTTGACCTAGAAGTTATATACATATATGGTAAATATTATTATATAATATTTAGATAACAAATTTTGTATTAATATATAGATAGAAATTTTTATATATTTTTTATAATAGACTAAAATTAAATAAAAATTTTAGTTTGTAAAAAATCATAGTTTTATAATTAACACGAGCAAGCTTGTCTCTATCCTAAGCCCAAACAAATATTATTACACTTGAGGTGTGAGCCAAACTAGGGCAGGCAACCTTTTAAAAACTATTAATAAACTATCAAAATCTGGCCCGAGATCTTTTATTTTTTGGTTCATTAGGCTACACAATGGGGGTAGCCCATCTCCTATAGTTCCTTCGGCTTCAGTATTATCTAAAAATAGTTAAAATACCAAAAAGAATGCATGCATGGGTTGTACTTGGTTTGGTTAGTCCAATTATGAATGTCACAATGCTCTTAGGGGTGCAACTTGGATGGGTTGGGTCAAGTTGAGGATCAACTCAAACCCAACCTAAAGTCTTATTCCTCAAGTTCAGATTTAGATTAATTTAATTATGACTAAAAAATTAATATATAGATTATTTTAATTATGACTACAGCCTAATTTTATATATTTACTAATATTTAAGTAATATTCACAAAAAAAATGTAACATTTAAGCATTAATAAAATAAAAAATGAATAAAATAGAACACTAATAGATAATATGGAGAAATAATCATTTTATCAAGTAATTAGAAATAATTTATTGTTTTTGTTAGAATTTATTAATAAAATTAATCCAAATTATTAAGTTACTAAATTATTTTTGTAAGAAATTACTAAAATAAAGATTTTGTATTTTATTTTACTAAAATAAAGATTAAGTATTTTAAACAACATTGCATTTGTTCCTTATAATAGTTATTGGTTTCTGTTGTTTCACTTTCTCTTGACAGATCCTGTGCATCACATGGATCCCCACTAGTGGTCAAATATTGGGCTACCAAGTGTGAGAACATAGGTTCGAACCTGGGAGCAGCCACTTTGTACAATAAATGCCAAAGGTAAGGTCTGGATACCCTCCCAAAACCCCAGATAGCTAGGACCCAACATTGGGTAGTTGCCTTTTTATACATAGTGGAGAGCAATCCAGGGACCTAGTAAAAGGAAAGGAAAAGAAACATTATTCGAGAAAGCAGATCAACCATAAAAGGCCTGTTTACATATGTTAACTAGTTGGAGGAACTTCTAAATATTCTTCAGCTGCATCATACTATGAATATCATTTAGGTCCTTATTAATCAATACAAAGATTCACCCATTTGAGTATGCACAGTTCATAGAATAAAAGCATAAAACAGCTGAAATGTAAAACCAGAAGAATGGCCCAAGCCCCCCCTCCCCTAACATTTTCAAGAATCATATTTCGTTAACATAGAAATCCTCTCATGCACGCCTAGTAAACATGTAAAAAAGGGCAAATAAGTGAAGTACTGTACAGCCATCAACCCAGTTTCTGAATGGTGTTAAATATTCGAATTGAATAAAAAAAAGAACTAGCTATTTTCGAATTACATCAAGGTCAGTTACTCCAGTTTACTGAAACATTTTTTTCTTTTCCAGCAGCGACTATCCACACAATCAAACTAGGGTCTATAGAGCTTTGTAAGACATAATTCAGTCAATTCTGTGTTAATCCAATTCCCGACAACATCAGCGACATAAAACTACACCCAAACAGGGAATTAAAAAGAAGATGGATTATGAATTGAAGAAATAAAGATATTGATAAAAAAATCGAAGAAATAGAGGACGAACCGTGAGATATATAATACCGCCTCCCAAGCCCTTTTCATCGGTTTTTCCACTAGTGAACTCGAACCTAGCTTCATTACCATAAAAGCAAGCTCCTTTCCACTTGGTAGACGCATTGTTGGGAGAAACCGATCCGACAAAAGATGGCAAGAGATCAACGGCACTGTGGATAGTATTAAGCACAGGCCACGAAACCTGACGAGGCAGAACCGGAAGGACGTCCTTAACCCTAAATGGAACCTTCAAAGCATGTCCAGAATCCAAACCAGTCCCTAGCGCTAAAAAGAATAAGAACCCCAACCACGTGTGGCGACGGAACAACGTCATCGATGAAGATGCCATGGGTTCGGTTCGAACTGCTTATCCTTTCTTTCTGCAACTTGGGAGTTGCAGAGAAACCCTAGGTTTGAGGTTGCAAGATCAGGGATGAAGAGAATTTTGATCCATGTTTGAAAAATGAAATGGATTGAATGGAAACTTGGAAAAGGCCTGCGTTGAAATCAGATATTTAACCAGAATTGAGTAGCCAAAAAACAAGATAATTAATTACAATAATTAGTTAATTAATCATTACATATTCCTTTTTTCACGTGGATTAGCTGAATTTGATAGCTGTTACTGTGGCTGTGGACCAATCATTTTGCTCCACACCAGTCAGAAATTCAAATGAGAGATTGCAAATGCACGACTGGTGTTGAGTAAAATGATTGACCCACAGCCAGTACAACAGCAATCAAATTCAGCCATGGTCGTTCTATTCGTGTCGCTACTCGCTAAGGACCACAACACAATGAGCACGATCTGATCTTACGTGGAATCTTCTCGTAAGAAGGCAAGCTCTTCGCTTGTCTGTTAAATGGCACCCGGAGTTTTAAACTTCTAATCACCTACAATTGTCGACGTGTCATATTGTCATTGGTCCTGTTTCGTCCGGTTCTCGCAGAGGATTGACATCCGCTCACCACGTAGTTGTTTCTATATGGGATGTCGTATGCAACGAGTCATGATCCGTCCTAGCGGTACCTTCTCAGAATATTCCAGTTTTCGCAATGTGTCATTCCACCAGATGCCCTACGGGCTACGATAAATAAGGGGCGTTCATCGGCCAGGCTGGGCTTAGCACCTGTGGTGAAGGTTATACCCGACCCGATCTTTTTACTTCTGCCCGAGTCATTTTTTCTATTTTTAGCTCTTCCCCGCTCCCTTCAATTTGCAATAGATCACATTCCTGGTATGTGCTGTAAATGGTTTGTATGCACCTCACTAAACCACCTCACTCTCAATTTATCATATATTATAGCTACTCTTCAGTATATATGATGTATGCATCCATCTAATACTTCACATTTATGAGGAAATCTAATTAGCTTAATGAGATGGGTGTTTGGCAGGCTGTGGAACCAATGATAACACCCCACGCCATTGATAGAATGCATGGGGCTCATAGTGAGAAATTAAATGATCGTAGGTCTCGTGTATTTTATTACTAACGTGAAGTTTTATCATTAGTTCTACAATCCATTGAACAGCTATTGTGTTCAATTAATCCTTTTTCATTCATGACACACTCAGTCTTTAGATATTATTTCTCAACTGCCCAACACTATTCTCTATACAACATTACTGACCTTACAATTATTTTATAGAACTTTTTCTTAGTATAAGTGGCATTTGCCGATCACATGAGACTCTTAATGCACCCCACAATTTATACTTTAATTGCATAGGTGGCATCTCCATAATCTCTCTCACTCATTATGAATTATTGAGCCAAAATAACAAAAGATGTCATATTGAATTGTCTTTTAGTCCTTATTAACAATCATGGTATTATATATATATATATATATATATACTTTAATTGCAAGTGGGATATTCAGCCATTTGAAATTGGCTTGCCAAAATAATATCATGCTTATGTTCGATTTGAACTAGAGACTTGAGTTTGAATTATATGTATGTATGTACAAAACAAATATTATACATGTAAACAATTATTTTTGAAACTCGAGCTCACGAACCTCTCACAAGCTAAGCTTCATTGGGCTCGAGCTTGGTTCAGAGCTCGATTTAGATCAAACCGAATCAAGCTTTTATGAACTGAGCTCAAACAACTTATAATAAGTTCAATTCATATAACCCCTACTTTCAAAGTATTCTATCTCAATTTACCTTCAAATGCATCACATGTTGTCCAACATATCTAATAGATTAATCATGTAATAATTCAAGATTGTTGGGTTAGAAGAGCAAATACTAGGAGAGTGATCATTACCATGGATATTAGGTACATTGCTTGGTTACGGAACATGGAACACTCATTAAGCAATCATTTGGGTGTGTGACGAGACGGGATATGCTCCTCACAAATGGGCGCCTCACACGCACATCCACCGTGTATTGGGAACATCTCCCATAAATATTTATTAATAAGTATGAAAGATGTTCCCAATGCATGGTAAGATGTGCGTGTGAGGCGCCAGTTGTGAGGAGCTGATCTGGTTTTGTGTGTGATATGTGTTGAAAGCATCTTGTGGATGGTTTTGAAACAAGACATCAAAATTTATTTCATATACCAAAATCTCATTAATTTGGTTGCACAAGAGTATGTTGGATGATTACTATATGTAATACAATGAATGATTGACTTTTTTTAAACGCATATTACGATTGAATTGAAGGGAAATGAGAGATCCATCATATGGATGGCCGAACCATGCAGGGTGGTTGGGCAAATTTTCAAAAAATTTCTTTATCTCTTCCGAGAATCGTATTACCTGATTTAGAAAAACTGCATTTTCAATGTCCGCTCTTGAAACAAACCGGACCAGATCTGTAACAAAAAAGATGGAGGGATATACCTAATACGGAATACACAAATGTAGCTCCCAACGTAGGTGTTCACGCCCAAAGAGGTCACCAAATCCTGCCTCCACTGAAGATGACACAGCTTAGGATGAAGTATGATCAGCAAAGCAGCTCTTCAACAAGAACTGCCATCCCTCAACAAGGATCACACAAGGGAGTGTGAGCATAACTTTATATTTGATTTTTCTAGCAAAAATCAAAATCAATATCAAATCTTGATCAGTCCAAGACTATGGAGATCGAACAGGGTAGGGCGGCAAGAACATAAGAAAGAACTGGGTTCTACAAAAGTGTTTAACAGAAGGAATTCACCCTCTATTTATAACCTATATGGATCAACTTCCTAACCCTACCAGGAAAGAGTTATTTGATCCAAATCTTTATTTGGATCTGAACTCTTAAGTGGATAAGACTTATCTTATCCTTGCTGATCCAGATCCATATCTAATATCAAATTCGCCCACTTTTAATTAATCTCATTAACACAGTTCGAAATAGGCTTTAGGTCCATCAAGTTATTAGGCTCACTTATCTTTTAATTTGTTGGCTAGCTTGGTTCTCTTTGTATAGCGTGGGACTCTAACATTAATCTCCACAAAAACCATATGGGTTCAGCCTAGCCTCCATTACAAGGCCTGGCCGAATTCACTACCAAACACCGTGAATCCCTGAGCCCATCAGTATGAGCACTTAGTAGGCTCAACATTTACACTAAATGATCATTGGTTCCATCCACCTTATGAAGGCCCAAGGACTATGGACTTAAGTGAGATTAGCCCATCAGGTAAAAACCCTAAGTGGTCTTACACTTAACCTCTCAGTCCATAATGATCAGACACTGCCCGACAAAAGAGGACCTCTCCCTCGACTATAAGGTACAATGTCACACTCTCTACTCAAGATGGATCCCGATAATTAAAACCTTTGCAAACATTTTTCATAAAAATATAATATATATATATATATTGCAAAACAAATCTCAAACAAGTTTAAAATCCACTACCGGCAATTTAGGTTTCCATTAGAGAGAGTGTTGTCCGCGATCATTCACTTTGTCCGACAAAGGGGTTGATTCTGCCACTATGATCACCCACTCAGGTAAATTCTCAGACTGCCCCAACATACCCAAGTTATGACCTCCGCTAAGGATCTCACTGATTGACATAACAAATACAGTCCAATCCAACACCTAGTGCAGTATCATAATCAAGTCTAAGGGTTAGGTGTAACTTTCCATTTTTTCCCATCTATCTCCAAGGTCTAAGGCACAACTAGAAATTGGTTTGGTTTAAAGTTTCAAGCAAACCCACACTACATGTGCTTCGGGTCTCACCCTGTCAGCTAAGACAAACCACCCTAACCGACTTGGCAGCACATTATCATCAACCTTGGCAGGATAAACCTCCATAAGTTTATCCAACGGCTATAAATATTCTAAACTAATACGAGTCTCATAAGTGTCCAGTTGAAGGATATTGCACAAAAACACACCAGATATAACATGAATCAATTATATACTTTATTCATTTACAATAAATGTCAAAATGTACATCAATCTGATTGGAGCTAAGGGCATACACTATCTAACATGAATTCATGTGATTTCAACCACACCTCATTAGGACTCAATAGATTCACACACACACACACACATTATAGGGACCACACCATGGAATGCCCCCAAATATTTAAAAAATAATGTGTTAACCATATCTCACATTTTTTTTACATTGAAATTTTGTAAAAATGTATACATCAAAAGTTGGTTTAAGTGCAAACATCTATTTAGACACAAAATTACAGTTAGCTTAGGGGGGATTAGCTTGGTACGGTTGGATTTGGTTTACTTTGAAGCCATTAATTTCACTATGTGAAAAAAAAAACACGTCGGGATATGTTGACCACACCGCCTTGTTGGCTACTTCATCCAACCACACGATGGGAAGAGGACAATTTTGTTATCAAGATTCACATCCAAACTCCCATAGTTGCACTGTTGATATGGGCAAATTTCTTAAACTACCCGTAAGGTTTAAGAAATTGACTAACTATACCCCTATTGTTTCAGTGTTGTCTTAAAGTACTCTTACTATTTATGACCATTGGGCAAATTTTTTAAACTACCCCTAAGGTTTAGGAAATTGACTAACTATATTCCTACTGTTTCAGTAATGTCTTAAAGTACTCTTATTGTTTCTGTTAATTGACTAAATATTCCTTATCGTTAGTGTTCATTAACAAAATGATTAAAAAGACTATTTTGCGCATCACTCAAAAAACCCATATTCATGGTTAAACGGAATACATCGTTGGTGATCTTCAAGCTTCATCGACAATTCAATTTTGCAACTCCTCACTCACTCACTCTCTCTCTCTTACCTTTTCTTTTTTTTGCTTCGCAACAAATTCTAATAAAAAAGCGACTACCATCCCAATGGTAGTAAGCATAGTTCAAGCTATTCGATAATGTCATCGTCATTGACCTTGTCGATCACCACTTAAGAAATCACTATGATTGGATTTGAGGGAGACGAAGAGAATTAATGGAGTTGGTTTACGTTTTCTTGGAAAGGAAGCCCTTTTTTCATAATCAATTATGGGTTTCATAAGCTCTTACGTCTG